TACCCTTCAGCTAAACCAGAGTCTCCCTACGTTCTTCCCATGATCATGGGCAAGTTCCAATGCCCTTCCTTTCTTAAACACCTTTAGTTTGGCCTGCACTTAATAACTGTCTTATCATCTTCCCTTCACTTGCCTGTGTGCTTAACACTAGTTTATGCTCACCTTCCTTCCTTTGTATAACACCTTTGTCGCACATTCAGACGCATCAGGTTTCCGGTCTCTCCACTGAGGAAACTGTTCTCAACCCTGGCGACCTGCTGTGCAGCTTGGGAAGCTGCTTGGGAGCTGGAGGTGCCTGGGAATGGGAACGTCAGGAACTTAGGTTTTTCCCTCTTGGGCTGATAGGAGTCTGGCCGCCCAGAGTCTCTTACCTGGAGGATTTATCTGGTGTCCTGAGTTGTGGGAGCTGTGAAGGTGTCACAAGCCTGCTCGGTTTTACCTTATCCAGAGACTAAGGTGTCCATCTGTCCTGCTGAGTGGGAGATGTGATTGCAGCTGTGTGGGGGAAAGGGCGAGGGGGGAGGGGGGAGGCAGATGCCTGGATTGCTGACACCAGACTCCAGTCACCTGCTCCAGACCCATCTTCACCCTGCTCCCTGGTCTGATGGGTCAGTTTGAGGTTCCATTTTTTTTAAGTCGTCTTTGACTCACGCATCTGCTTTCTGGAGTCCCACACTTGTGTGCCCTCCTTAATGCTGGCATTCAGAGCAACACCAACACCCACAGGCTCATCACTGCTGACGATGACTGTAAATAGTGCTATTTTCCTTTCTCCTCCTGCTTGCTGATTCCATGTGGTTCAGAACCATCCGCAGTGAGTTTCTACAATTTTGCAAAGGCTGTAAAAGTTGTTTCGATCTGTACATCTACCCAGCACTGCCTGAGCGGTGTAGGATCCCAGCTGAGCCTTAACAAGAGCGCCCTGGCCCCTTCGCTGGCCTGTATACGCGCAGACCTGACCAATCTTGGATGCACCATCTCTGCCGCCGCAGCCCCCAGGCAAGGGTAGCTCATACTGTTGCACCAGCCCGAAGGTGCAGCTGCGGCCCCAGTGTGCCAGGCACCCAGACTCATCACTGCCCAGAACCCCTCACAGCCTTGTTTAATGTCGTCTCTCTGCAGCTCTGCTTTGTGATGTTTTGGACCCCCAACGTCTCTGAGAAGATTTTGATAGACATCATTGGTGTGGACTTTGCCTTTGCTGAGCTGTGTGTTGTTCCCCTGCGAATCTTCTCCTTCTTCCCTGTGCCAGGTAAGGGTGGAGGGACAGAGGTGTCCCTCCTGCTCATCCTCGTACAATGTATTTCTTTGGAATTTCTTGAGCACACCAACAATGAAAATGTAAAATTTTACCTGGAATTAGAAAGATACAAAGACATCAGCCAATAGTTTGAAAATCCCAAAAACTGAATCAAATTAGCACAATTGAGTTTTTAAGGTTGCAAACACAGTGAGCCCAAAAGATCTGGGATGGAGTTGGGGCGGTGGTAGACCTGCCATCTGTATTGGTCGTGGTGGTACGTGAATCACAATTCTTAGGACTGCATATTAGAGAAAGCCAAGGTGAATAATATGCAACTATTGTTATAAAGACCATATAGCACAGTCATTATACTCAACGAACATACATATTCATGCATACATATACATCTATGTATCTGTATTGTAGTTTGTGTATGTTCTAAGTGCTTACAAATCTATATTCTGTTTCTAAGAGACATCCACCATGCTGCTCACAGTGGCTGCCTGTGGGAAGCAGGATTGGGGGCTGGAAACACATGATTGCAAGGAAGACCTTTCTTCTCTATTTCCTTTTTCACTGGAATTCTCTAGCAAGTGCATATCAGTTAGTCAAAAATAAATTGCCACGGCTGGGCGTGTATCTTAGCATGATACCTTAGGTTTAATCCCCAACAAAAGAAAAAGAGGGAAGAAAAAAATTGCCAAAAAAAACCCCACCCACCCAAATCAATAAACTTAGAAGTCGGGTGCTATAAAACCAGTTAAAGATATGAGCTCTTTGCTGGGTGCCGCTGCCTCACACCTGTGATCCTAGCTACTCAAGAGGCTGAGATCTGAGGATCACAGTTCAAAGCCAGCCCAGGCAGGAAACTCCATGAGACTCATCTCCAATAAACCACCAGAAAACTAGAAGTGGTGCTGTGGCTCAAGTGGTAGAGCACTAGCCTAGAGCTGAAGAGCTGAGGGACAGTACTAAGGCCCACAGTTAAGCACCACAACCAACAACAACAAAAAAAGATAGGAGCTCTGCAGCTAGTTTAGACCAGAGCCAATGCGCACTTGACATCCCATGATGTCCCCAAAGTAGGGGATAAGCAGCCCTCACTCAGGCAGCAACCCTTGTGGATGTCATCTTCTGCATGACATGGTGTAGAAAAACTGGAGGAAATGACAGAGCCCACAGTGGGATGAGGCTGGTCTCTGTAATTTGCAAAGCTCGTGAGCCAGCCCGTGAAAAGCTGATGACACCCAGAGAAAGCTACAATTGGAAGTCCAGACACATGGTTCACTTCTGCAGGGGTAACTCAAGGAGGGCCAAGAGAGCTGGAGAGCCTAGCGGGGGTATGACTTGCCTTTCATCTCCTCCCCACCCCACTTCCTGCCTGTGAGGCAGTGGGCTTCCAGACAGCCAGAAGCCCTGTGCGCCCCCTGCAATCTACTGGATTGGGGCGACCACATTACCACATGACTGTTCCTTTTCCTCTCCCTTGGCCCAATTTAAGTGGCCCTGTCTGTGTCTGAGTGAAGAAGATGAGGCTCTTCATCTCTCTGGAAGAGGGAAGTCACCACAAACCAAGAAGACAGCAGAGCCAGGGTACCATTTGGTGGTGGTGAAGGTGGCCAGCCTGCACAAGGCCCTAGGGCTGCAGCAACAGCAGGTCCCACCTAGCAGCCCAGGCCCTGGAAATGAGGTGTTGGCCAGCATGTCCTCCTCCGGCAGCCTTTGCTGCTGCTCAGGCTGGGCCAAGGGTCTTCTAAGACCTTCCAGCTTTAGGTGGAAGCTAGACCTTCAGGACATCTCTTACCAGCAAGGACAAAGGCCGGGGCCCTGCAGAGCAGGATCATTCACGTGCTGTGCAGATCTGCATGGGCAGAGTGCAGGAAACATGCTGGGTGATTGTGAAATATCAGGGTGACGGCTGAGTGACAACGCCGGGCCGGGGAGGAGGGAAGGAAACAGCCGAGGCTGGCGGGTCAGAACGGGAAGTGGGGGCAGCAGTCCTCCTCCTCCTCCCTTGCCTCTCTCCCCTCAGATGGTGGGCGAGGCAACGGCTTCCGGTCCCAGTATGTCTGACCACCTGTATCTAAGTTGGGGCTTCCTCTTCTAGAGAGTGGACAGAGCTGGCGGGGACCGGGGGCAGCAGGACGGTGCGTGGGCACCTGCTGCGCCGCGGTGGGGACGGGAAGCCTGTGTGGGTCAGAGGCCGACACCAGTCAAGCCCGGCACTGCAGGGCAAGTGACAGGGATCCCTGGCAGCAAGGCCGGGGTCTCAGCCAGCCCCCTGCGGTCTTAAAAATGTTGCCTCAAGCCAGAGGCATTGGACTCGGGGTAGCAGGGTTGCGGCGAGGCTTGGCTAAGAGTCTCTCTCCCCACAGTCACTGTGCGGGCACATCTCACCGGCTGGCTGATGACACTGAAGAAAACCTTTGTCCTGGCGCCCAGCTCGGTCCTGCGCATCATCGTCCTCATCACCAGCCTGGTGGTCCTTCCCTACCTAGGGTATGTCGCTGAGGAGGGGGCAGGCGTGTTAGGGCTCCTTCTGCCGCTTAAGTAGTCTACACAGAGGATTCTGTGCTTTGAGTGACGGCCCCAAGCAGGGGAAAGCTAGAAATCCAGAGGCTGAGACCAGTAGAGGCGCTGACAAGCCAGTCCCCCCCACACACATCCACTCACAGATACTCGAGTGGGACCCGAGAGGAGATCACCGACAGGAAGGAGTCTCAGGAGACTCCCCATCTTGAGTGAGGGGGTCAGTGGCTGGTCAGCAAGGCTGAGTCTGGGGTCCCGGAGTTTGCTGCCATATTGAGGCTGGGAAGAAAGCAGCTGAGCCCTGGCGTGAACCGAGCCGATGGAGAAAGCTGTTCCTGTCCCTCTCCGGTCCTCTTGATTCCTGGGTGGGAGAGGGGGAGCGCATCGCCGCTCTGCGTGACATCTTCACACCAAACGCTCGTGTGGTCTCATCCCCAGGGTTCACGGAGCCACACTGGGCGTGGGCTCCCTCCTTGCAGGCTTTGTTGGGGAATCCACCATGGTCGCCATCGCAGCATGCTACGTCTACCGGAAACAGGTGAGACAGCAGCGGGTCTCCTCCCCGGCATCGGAAGACCCGGCTTCAGGGCTCCGAGGCACACAGGCCTGCGGGCGGAGGGGTGGGCCGCCTTGCCTTTGTCCTGTCCTTTAAGAACCTGTGCTGCCCAGCGTGGCCACAGGGTTTTGACAACCTCCAGCCTACTGTCCTTCACCCTCGGTCGACTTTAAGACACGTCTGTGTTTTGGGCCAGAGCCAATGGTTTGAACTCGGGGCCTTGCATTTGCTCAGCTTGCTTGCTCAGCTGGTGCTCTACCACTGAGCCATGTTTCCAACCATGCTTTTTTCTGGTTATTTTACTGGAGAGAGTCTTTCAGACTTTTCTGTCCAGGCTGGGCTTGGGTTGTGATCCTCAGATTTCAGCTTCCGGTGGGGGCTAGAATTACAGAGTTGAAGCACGGGTACCAGATGTCTCTCTCTAATACTGGTATTAGACAATCAGTGTGACAGAACACCAGGGAAACTAAATGGGTCAGTTCACAGTTTCAGATGTGTCGATCCATGGCTGTTGGGCTCTGTGGCTGCTGGCTCATGCCCAGCATGAGGAGGCTAGGTGGAGCGAGCGACTCGTCTCATGGCGGACAGGAGGCAGAGAGAGCGGAGATATCTTTCAAGGAGTTGCCTGTGCTGATGTCTAGGGGAGAATTCTTCGAGCAGGAGGGAGCTGGTGACCTACCCAGACAGTCTCATGACCCGTGCAAGAACCAGAGTCAGCCAGGAGAGTGAAGAGTGAATCGCCAGGGAAGCAGTGTGGCAGCCAGACCACAGGGAGGCCTGCTCCCACAGGGAGGCCTGCCCCCACAGGGAGACAGGGAGGCCTGTCCTACAGAGACAGGCCTGCCCCCACAGGGACACCTGCCCGCACAGGGAGGCCTGCCCCCACAGGGAGGCCTGCCCCCACAGGGAGGCCTGCCAGCACAGGGAGACTTGCTCCTACAGAGAGACAGGGAGGCCTGCCCCCACAGGGAGACTTGCCGCTCCCCCTATTCCTGTAATTCCCCAGCCAGGGAGGCCAAATGTTCCAAGGCCATGGGTGGAGATCTAGACCTAAGCAAAGTCAGGGCTTTGCCTGACAAATAGAACCTGGGCTAAGTAGGGGCGGGAGTGGTCAAGGCTGTGTGCTCTGTGCATTTCATCTACGCTGAGGGGAGAGCGTGGGGGATGGGAGGCCGGGGCAGGTGAGCGTGGCAGAGGCGGCCGTGAGGATGCTCTGTTGGCGTTGGTCTGTCGGGGTGCTGAAGGAGTGGAGCTGCAGGGTCTGCATTGAGCCCCCAGACTGGCTGAGGGGCTGCTGATCGCTCAGAGGCCATTTCCTAAAAGGACTGGTTCACGCGGCAGCAAGGCCACCTGTCATTAAGAGTGGACGCAGAGCTGTCCCAGAAGGGACCAAAGGGAGAAGTATTCTGGAACATGAGATTCAAGGCGCTGGCGGGTGAGCAGACGCTCCGCTGGCCGCCATGCGGAAACTGGCATCGGATGGCGGGTTCCGCAGGCAGCGGCAGGGAGGTGGGCCAGTGCCCCCAAGCCTGACGGCTTGACAGGAACACCACGCGGGGCGCAGCCTTCATGGCGTCCCCCAGGTTGGCAGCCAGCAGGCCCAGGCCTCTCCCTGCTCACGGGTCAGCCGTGCCCCGCCCCTCCCTGCCCATGGCCCCGCGCTGATGAGTCTTCTTTGCTCTAGAAAAAGAAGATGGAGAATGAGTCGGCCACAGAGGGGGAAGACTCCGCCATGACAGACATGCCCCCGACAGAGGAGGTGACAGACATCGTGGAGATGAGGGAGGGGAACGAGTAAGGCGCGGGACACCGCGGGCGCTGCCCGGACCTGGGGACCTCTCAATCTCCTCTCCCGTTGTGTTCGGTTCACTTGTTTTTTTCTTCTTCTCCTTTTCTCGTTTTGGTAATGAAAGAGGCCTTGATTTAAAGGTTTCGTGTACATCCTCTAGCATACTGGGTATGCTCACGCCGAGGTGGGGACCTGCACAAAGGTCTTTACTGTTACTTTGTAAACACAAAACCATGGACTCTGTACCCCTGCTTCATGAACACCCCTAAGACATGGCTGCCTCCTGGTTGACATTTCTTCTCCTCCCTGGGACAATCTCCACTTGGAACCAAAGGACTGTACCATCGCCCCTTCCTCTCTCCACAGGCTACCAGGCCTGGCAGGCCACAGACTCATTCCTGACCCCGATTGCCTCTCAGAAATCAGCAGGTTAAAGCTCAGCCCCCTTTGACTCGCCTCCCAGTACCATGGCCGTGGGCACAGGTGTGCACCGCGGCCGGTTACGCCCTTCTCCCCTGCACACACTGCACACATTGGAGGTGGGCGGCAGGCCGCAGCCCAGAGCACCATTCGCCCGGAGGAGCAGATGTGTGACCCTGCAGGGCTGACGTGTACAAGGCATTGGAGTAGCACGCTGACGTGATCAACAGCAGCGGCTCACTTCGCCTTTGCCGCGCTGTCAGTGAGCTGCTGCCACCCCACCGTGTATATACGTGAGCTAACGTAGAGTTGTCACAAAGCGCATCTCCAGATGTCAGCCGGCATCCTTCCGCATGCCTTTCCCCCCAAAGCTTGCTTTCACTCACTTTCCTGAAGATGGCACTAGAGCGAGTTCAGTGGAGCAGTCTAACTCTCCGTGTTTAGTCTTTACAGTGAATCTAGCATCTAATGCCAGGTGATTGTTTCATAACTCCTGAAGTAGCTTGCCTGGTTTTTGCCATTCCCAGTCACAACTCTGCGGTACAGGAAATTTGGAGTGTACTCCGGTACCTCTCTCTCACACACCACAAAGCAAGACATTTTATACCAGGTGTCCCCCAAGCGATGCATCGGAAATCCATTTAGTGCAGTCTATTTTTCTAAGTTTTGGAAAGCGGGTTTTTTTTCCTTTAAAAATTATGGACATATTCACTAAATTCTTGATTTAGTCAAAAATAACTAGACTGAAAGAACCTAAACAAAACAAATATTTTAAAGATATAAATATATGCTGTATATGTTATGTAATTTATTTTAGGCTATAATACATTTCCTATTTTCGCATTTTCAATAAAACGTCTCTAATACAATACTGTGTGTGCTCAGAATCCCTGCATTTGAGTCCTCTTTTGTCCTGACCACCACAGCTGGACAGTGTCCCCTTATTGGCATGAGCGGAAGGGCCAGCAGATGACAAGGAGCTCGTTTTCCTGGGTCACCTGGGAATCACTGGAGCAGAAAATGATGAGAAGAAATTGGGAGGGAAAAACGATCCCCCCAGAAAAGACATTATTGTTTTCAGTGCTGTGTAATCATCCTGTTCCTCCTCAAAAGAAAAGCCTGTAAGGGCGAAATGCCGGCAGTGCGTGTCAGTCGCGTTCGTGTGTCCGGGGCGCAGTGCCCTGGAGGCTCGCGCTGCTGCCTCACTTTTCCTCCGTCTGCCCAGTCGAGCTGAACATGAACACGTAGAGCTGCTTTCAGTTGGTTTCAGAGGTAGATCTGAAAAGTTGGGGGGAGGGAAGTCGTATTGTATTGGCTTTTATATTACATGACTAGAAAATTAAACCGCAGTATTTTTTAACATATATGACTAATTCGTGCTTCTGGGGTTGGAACTTAAAGATTAAATTGGAACCAAAAAAAAAATCCTATCTTATTCCAGTGACTGGCTCTTGTCAGCTTTAGACTGTGGACTCTAGCTCTGGAGCTGCTGTGGGGTGGAGAGATGAGGTCATCGTGGGGGGGTGGGTTCCTGGGAATCCAGGAAGTAGCGCCTGGCCAGAACCTCAGCTGTGGAGCTGTGATTGTGCAAGGCTTGCTCGGTGCTGCACCTGGACGTGCAGGCTCCTCCCTTCGCTTGCACAATAACGTTTCTTTGGGGACAGGTCATTCAGCTGATGTATTTGGAAGGGGACACGGAATGACCCAGGGTGATTTTTTTCCAGGTTAAGCGATGGCTGACAAATACAGTCTAAACACAAGGGCAGAAAGCAGGTTTTTATCTAACGAATGAAAAATACTTGGGGCCACTCAAAGCACAGCCTTCGTGGGGTGAGGCGCTCTCCCAACAAGCACTCAGGCGTTTCTTCTGAGGGACACAGAAGTCATTTGAGATGCAGTGGCCAAATGGCTCTCCCTTGCAGAGATCTTGGTGCTGGGGACACCTGTCTGGGATGTATGGGATGCCGAGGGACTGAACCCCCCAGACAGGGCTGGACAGGAAGGGCCGGAGCAGGCGTGAGGGACTGGCACGTCGGTGGAACCGCTCACGCATGGGGGGTTTTTTGGTGGGGGGACAGGAAGGTTCTCGTTTGCATCATTCGGTAAGAGCCAGTCAACGCTCGCTGGCTGCCTACGTCCAGATGTTCTCATTTATTTCAGGATCTTCCTTTCCAGCCTTAGCTACAGAAACGTCCACGGGTATGACGTAACAGTGGAAACAGGGACTGCTGGCTTGACTGAGCCGATGAAGGCCGAGGTGTGACTCGGTGGCAGCGTGCCTGCGGGCGTGCGTGGAGCCCCGAGTTCAGGCCTCAGTATGGAGGCAAGGGAATGCACGGTGGATCAGATGAGTGTGGGTGCATCTTGCTTGCACTAGATACAGCACTTTATACTTCATTCTGGAAGCTTTCTTCCCAATAAATAGTCTTGGGAGAGGAGGCCGAGGCCCAGGAGGAACAGGACTGCAGGTGCATCCTCACAGCTCTTTCTGGATTTGGTAGGCATGGGCAATAATGACCTAGCCTAACCAGAGAGGGGTTGGTCAATTATATCTTCCAGTCAAAATGTGAGTCAGGAGCTCCCTGCTTCTGTTGGTGGGCAGAGGTGGGGTTTGGACTCGGAACTTCATGCTTGCCAGGCAGGCAATCTCCCACTGAGCCGGCTGCCCAGGCGCACACCGGGCTTCTCCTGAGATAGGTCCCCCTCCCCCCCAGGCACATGTCTAGACAACAGTCCCATTTTTACTCTCCCCGCCAGAGCCAGGATGGCAAGTGTGCGCCACCATGCCTCACCTCTCACACTGAGATGGGATGCGCTCAATAGCAGGCTCCCACAAAGCCAGGATGGCAGGTGGGCGCCACTGTACCCAACTGTGGGTGAAACACTGGGTCTCGTGAGCTCTTCTGCACAGGCTTACCTTAAATGACAGTCCTCCCACTGCCAGCCGACAGGCGTGAGCCGCCATGCCCAGCTCCCCTTTACGGGCCTTTATCTTTTTGCCAATACTGGGCTTGAACTCAGGGTCTCACTCTCAGCTTTCTCACAGCTGGTGTTCTACCACTTGAACCACACCACCAGCCTAACATTTTGCTGGTTAATTAGAAATGGCATCAAACCACAATCTTCCAGGTTTAAGGCTCCAAGTCTGAGCCTTCTGAGTAGCTACTATTACAGGCAACCCTCTTAATTATTCCTCATTTGGGATCATTTCAGAAAGGAAAGCGCCAAGGAAGAGAAACTTTTTCTGGGAACATCCATTTTGAAGACTCAGCTCTGTTCACTGAATTTTTTTCCTTCAACCTGAAGCAGAATAAGACTGAACTGTGTATTTTAAAGTATTTATATTCCTACAATTTAATTATCTGACCTTGAGAAATGTTTTTCTGCATTAAAAAAAAAAACAACCTATTTGAGCTCACCTCTTCCTGGGCCTGTGCTCAGAACATCACGTGCTGCTCTGTGCCGGCTGGCCAGCCAGCTCTGGCCTCGGGCTTCGCAGGACAGCTGCCATGGTTTGAACCATCCAGGAGAAGGTGTCTTTTCTTATGCTGACACCCCCCCGCTCTTCATCATCAAGCTTGTAATACAGGAGGACTCAGACATGGTGGCCTCTGCTGAGCCACCTGCGTGGCATTTGAACCATCGAAAAGCATGTTTTGGAGCAATGTGTTTGGTAAACATTCGAGATACTCCTCTTATGTAGTTATTTTGGATCTCTATTTCTGTCATTTGTAGCAGCAAAACATCAGCTGATCTAACCACACATGAAACAGGATGTAGAGAAAATCTGAAGAAAAATGAAGGAAGGGCCCTGTTGCCTGCTCTTTCAAGGGCTAAATATCTAAAATTGCCACACAAATGCTCAGCACTAGAGAAATCCGTGTGTGTAATTAAAATAACCCCAACTCTGCTCAGAAGTAACCAATTACCCCTTAATGTCTGATCTTAGAAGATAAAAGAAGGCAAAAATAAAGACTCTGAAACTCCTTCAAGTTTAGATTTTTCTCAAGATGGCCGGACAGGCCTGTTAGCTGAGGAGACTCTGCTCACCAGAATACCCAGATCCAACACCTGACTTCATGGCTGTAGGTATTACAATCAATATCATCAAAAGTAATTTTTAGACATTATTCTCTGCCTCTTTTGCAGCCGACCAGGGTCTCTTAACAACTCTGTAACCTATCTACGCTTTTATGGCTCATAGAGGGCTACACTTGGAACCAGCAATGCTGGTGGCACCCCTTTTTAAGTGAGGTGATACTGTATACTCCAAGTACATTTCACAAAAAGACTTGGCACGAGCTTCTATGCAAGCACATAGAAACAGAAGTGACAAGAACTGAGTCTTTTCAGAAACAGGTTACCTAAACAAGAAAAGCAATGGGGACAGACTCCATGAAACGCAGTGGCACTGCCGTGATCACTGTGGGACACACAGGCTGGGACAAGGTGCCCTTAGAGCCGGGGAACATGACGGCCAGTGCCCTGTGCCTTCCCGCAGTGTGGGGCTCAGCTCAACAGGGAACCACAATTGGAACAAACCGGCCCCTGAGGGAAAAGTTCACACCAGCCTCATGCCTCAAGCCCAGGATGCACATCGCTGACAGTCAACTAGCGCTTCGCAGCAGTGGCCGCACCACCATCAACCACATCTCCTTACTCGGAAGATAACTTGTTCCTTGGTTTCCATAATACATTTTTATTGCCTTTATGGTGTCTTACTAAGGTGACTACCTAATGCTATTATGAGCAAGCCAGAGTTGCGGAAAAACAAAAACAAAAAACCGGCTCCCCACATGAGATTGTACTCAGCACCAACATGCATCCTTCTAAGTGACCTGGACACCCCACATACCGTACCCCTCAGCTTCATTGCACATGTACCCAAGCAGACTGCTGGTCTACTGCACTATGTCTGATGTCCAGTACCTCCTACTTCCCTTAAAGCCCGAACATCAGCAGTGATTTGTTTTTAACACAATTAAGTCCTTGACATCTGTGGTTGTCAGCTTAGCAGCTTTTCAATTTCACATCAACATGATGGGTTTGAAATGGTGAAACCAATCACATTAAATTTTTCCTGTAGCCTTTGATTCAGACTGCAGAGATCAGTATAAAATACATGCTGCATTGCAACGATTGCTGTTTATATATTTAATATAGATAAATTTAATCACTAAGCGTACTTAATCTGCTTATTGGAAAGGGAGCTTGTACCCGTATACTAACAGGTTTCAAGCTCATTTTGCTTTAAGTACAGCTTCAACACTTGGCATATAATTGAGATTGCTTTTAGTTTCTTGACTTTCTTATCCTATTAGTCTGTTGACTTACCACAGATACTTGATTTCCTAATCCTGATTATAATTTTCTTTTCTTGCATTTAAATGAGACACTAAAATCTGACCCTTTGTTAAAACCTCTTAGTATGGGATTTTTGTCTTAAATATGTATTTAGATTTGATTTTGTACTAAAATGACTTTAACTTCCCCTAACTTTAGTAATACTGAAAGCTTATATCTGAACCCCTCCAACTTCTCTACCCTCTTAAAGTGGGAACCCCAAAATCAGAGTGTATTGATTGCATGCAAGGAGAACTGGAAACTGCTCCTACCCATGGCTGAGTCTTGTTCTTCTCAATCTGTGTGTGTATGTGTGTGCACACACACGCGTGCACACACATGTGCTGATCCTGGGACTTGAACTCAAGGACGGGGTTCTGTCCCTGAGCTCAAGGTTAGCATTCTAACACTTGAACCACAATTCCACTTCCAGATTTTTTGGTGCATAACTGGCTATGAGTGTCACAGACTTTCCTGTCAGGGCTGGCTTTGAACTGTGATCCTCAGGTCTCAGCCTCTGAGTAGC